ATACAATTAAAGTAGAAAAAATAATATTTGATATCAAATATATACAGAAAACAAAATTAATATTCCATTCATATATTAAGTTATAATAATAAAACTAAACATCAACTTTATTATAGACATATATTATATTAGCTTCTTTTATTTGTCTTATAAAATCAATAATCATTAATGGAGAGAACTTAAAATTGGTTAATATGGAATTAAATATTCTTTATTTATTTGGTAGACTGTATTATAAGTTAAGAGATTATATTTTTAAGTTAGGCAAGTAATCTTTAAAAAATGTTGGCTTTCAAATAAGAGTTACTTTAAAATCTATTTATTGGAATTTTTATGTTAATTTAAGGTAAATCAATAATTAATTTTGAGAAGAATAAAAAATATTCTATTTTTTAATAGATTTTTGATTGCTTTTATTTTAAGATATATAAAATATTATTTAAAAAAATAATAAATTTAGAGTTTTTTATGGTTAAAAACTTTTTTATTTTTTGATTTTGTAAATATAATTGCCTCATAAAATTAATTAGGGAATTTGTAGAATTTTTTGGGATAGTTTTGCTTTAAACAGGAAGCATATACACATACATATACTTCTTTTTTTAGTTTTTATTGTTATATGGATTTCTTTCTTCGATTTTTTAATTTTTTTTTAAATATTTCCTTTCCAATTTTTTCAGGTATTGTTATATTTAAAATTATTTTTAATTTCTATTTTAGCGAAAAAAGAAAGGCTTTGTTTTATATCAGAGTTTTCTTAATTCGTTTGGCTAAAAAAAGTCTCTGGTGAAAATTCAATTCATCTTGCTACGTTGATTTTTCATTGCCAAAATAATAATTTTTAAACACAAATTCAAAAAAAATAATCATTATATTATTATTATTAGATAAATAATCTCAATTATTCAGTTTCTCATTGATTTCTATCAATTTTTTAATTTGTCTCTAAGGGATAGTAACTTAATAAGGCTTTTTTTCTTATGAATCATGTATTAACATAGAATCCAAGACTTCAGGGAGAAATCCTGTAATAAGATAAATATTTATGGGGCCCCATTTAATTATAATGATCATTAAAATCATTAATGATACAAAAAAATTTTACTAATTATAAAATCTTATATTTTTTCATCTTCAAAATAACTCTTCTTATTAAGATTTTAAATTAAGTTAAAAATAAATAAAAAAAAGTCCAGTCACATAATTAAAAAAATTTGATAGAAATCAAAATCACCTAGATAATATACTTTCTTTCTTTTTAATTTAGTATTTTCTATTAATTTTATCAAATTATTCAATAATTACATCATAATTAATGTTTTTTTAAAATTGATCTTCATCCAATCAATCATCACACTCAGAGAATAAGCATGAATTCTACCGAAATAATAATTCTTTGCATATACATCATTTTTTAATATAAATCATCAAAAAAGTTGTCTTGCATCATTTATGTTATTAATAATAATCAAAAATTCATAATGTTATATAAATAAAATAAAGAGGCCAAAACGAATTTTTCCCAATAAAATATAATATTAATTAAATTCCACTTTAGATTGTAATTATATAAAATAAAGTTCATCTTAATATTAGAATGAAATATTAAATATTTTTATTTTTACTCAATTATCCCACAAGGAAATTTGTTTATAATATAATTTGAGAATACTTAAATAAATATTTATCTATATAAGAATTATGGGGTAATCTCTTTGTAAATTATTGCCATCTATATTTAAACAAAAGTAGGTCACGTTAGTTATGATTGGATTAGATGCAGTTGGAAAAACTTCAATCCTTTATTGGTTAGCATTGAAATCAGAATTAATATCAACTATTCCTACAATTGGTTTTAATATTGAAACAATCAAATATAAAAATATTCAATTTAACTGTTTTGATATTGGTGGAGGAGATAAAATAAGATTATTATGGAAATAATATATGTGTGGAGAATTAAATGGAATTATTTTTATTATAGATTTATCTGATCTAAAAAGATTACCAGAAGCAAAAAAAGAATTAGTTAGATTTCTTAATGAAAAGGAGACTAAAGATTCTCCTTTATTAATTTACGCTAATAAATTAGATATTGCTAAATTTAATCTTGAATATTTAAAAGAATACTTAGAGTTTCCATATCAAGATAGGAAATGCCATATCTAATAATGTTCTGTTTTAACAGGATAAGGAATATATGATGGTTTAAATTGGTTAGTAAACATTTATAAATCAAAATGATATTATTTCATATTAATTTAACTCAAATGAACATCAATAACAATGATTTTTCATTTAATTTATTTATACTAATATTTTTCTCTTATAAATTATGATACAATCTTTATAAGAATTCTGCATAAAAATAAGGATTATAGTAACAGAAAAAAATCTAAAATCATTAGCTTAAGATTTATTAATTTATATTATAATTTATAAGCCTAAAATTAATAAGTTATATTATAAAGTTCTTACAAAATAAGTATAAGTTTAAATTTTAAATATATTTCTAGTTTTTAAATTTTTAGAAAAAACTATCTGAAGAAAGTTTTTGAGAATTTTAGGAGTGCCTAAATTGTTTTGATTTTAGGATACTTTCTTAAATTTAGATAAATAAATTTATTATAAATCTAGTAAGAAAACTAAAAGGAAATTCTTCTTACTAATTCGTGGGTAAGTAAATAATTTGCTGTTTCATAAATTAACCATAAAAGTTAATTTAAAAAAATAATTCAGTTTAAAAAAAAGTCTAAGTGATAATTAGAAATTCAGTTGTTTGAAATTATTGAAATAGCCTTTTTTTAAATAAAAAATATATTATATCTCAAGATCAATAAAAATTCAAATTTTTATTTCTGTTTATTTAAATTTAATTCATAAAAAGTACTAACTAGAAAATTTTTTATAATTTTCTATAAATTAATAATCACGGCGAATATAAAACTTAAAATTTATTAAGATATTCTATGTTTCTCATATAATATAGTTGTAGCGCAATATAAAAAACTATTATAGAAGAAAGAAGAATAAAATAAATTATTTGTATTTTTATATTTGGTTAATGTAATTAAGATTTCAATTAAGGAAAAGTTCTGGGTTTCTCATGTGATAATAAGGTTTAGTTATTTTTAAGGAACCATGCAACATCACAAAGATGTAAAGAGGTCTTAAGAGAAATCTAATAAAAAAAAATAATTAATAAAAAAAGCTAGACCAATTCGACTAAATTACTTCTTATATAGTTGCATTTGATTTTGTATTTGTTATAAAAATAGCAACTCTTTCAATTACAACAATAATAAGCATAGCACCACTAATTAAAAAGACATACATAAAATCTCTAGATATTCAAAATTTTCAATACCGAATTAAGAGTTTAATCATTCCTAATTTTAATGGCTATGTTTACCACATTAATGTACAGAATAATACAAATATTATTCCTGTTACTATAATGTGAACAGAGCTCATCCATAAAATTTATGTTTATCCTTCTTTATTGTCTTAAGATATTTGATTCATTGTAGTTGGCTCAATAAATGATGACCAAATTAAATCAAATATTAAAAAAACATAGAATATCCCTAATTTGATATAAAGAGTTCTAAGTTCTGATTGTAAACTAAATTAGAAGATGTTGTTACTCTCTCATTATTAAATTGTTTAAAATTTATTTATAAATTGGTCATACTTTAAACATAACCTCATAAACTATAGTTGGATCAGCTATTCCTATAAATAATGAATCCTCATCATCATCATCTCTTAAATCTATATTCTTAAAATATAATGCAATCTAATTATTTGATAAATTCTTACATTTTAAAGATTTGCTTTGCTTTTATTTATAATTTAATCACTAAGATCTTATTTTAAAATTGATTTTAGAACTAGTTTTCTTAATCTTTTAATTAATCCTTATTATTCAATTGGATGATAAGTAACTTTACAATCTAACTTTGCAATTTTCTTATCTTGTTCTGTTTTTCCAATTATTGTTACTGATAATTTAGTATTATTTGTGTTATTTTAACCAGGTATACGATTAATCATTTATTCTTCTCTGGCTATTTTCTATTTCCTTACATAATCAAATAATTGCTTAAATTTTTATTCATCATATATATTATCTTTGAATTAATCATATGTAATGGTTCCATTAAAGGTTTCTTATACTAAATGCACAAGACCTTATTTCTATTCAAATTTATGCTTTTTATTTTTTTTTTTATTGTTTTCAACCAAAAGGTTTTATAAATCATTGAAATCAATACTATTTCCAAACAATTTTTTTAGGCGATCTAATATTATTTAATCAGCTTATTAAAATTATGGAAAGAGCATATCAACTATGGATTACAAATAAGGATCTTTTCTTATAGTACTTTTCGTAATTTATATATTAGGGCATTTAGGACAGTACATTTTGCTTGATATACATACAAAACAAACTCTTATATCATAAATTTATACATGTATGACCACATTCTGATAATGTATGCGCAAATCTAAAATATCCATTGCATACAGAGCAAACTAAATAAGGGTTAAGCGCTGAAAGTTTAAATTTCTAAGAATCATTTATTTTGTTACTTCAAACTCTTATATCATTATAATTAATATATTTTAATATAAATTATCAATTATTTACATGAAATTCTTTTGTATTAAATGGCTATAGATATATGTATTAGCTAAAGTTAAAATTAATAAATATTGAATTGTATGGTTTATTTTTGGTTTTACCTTCAAATTATTGGTTTCAATAAAAGAAGTAAATTGAAGATTCAAAAGAATTTTTTGAGTAATTTATTCTTCCTAATTTATAAGATTAAACCTAATTTAAATTAATAAAAAATGATTCCTGTTAAGTAAATAATATATACTAATATGAAATTTCGTATATTCTATTTAATTAGATAAGAATAAAAATTAAATTTATGTTAGAGTTTGATTGTTAATCCTTGAATTCTGTGTTTTTAGCTTAAATTGAAAGTCTTAAAAGCTCTCTTTTCAAAATAATAAGTTAAGAAATAAGGGAACCATTATCAAAAGAAATTGAAAAACAAGTATCAAAAAAGAACTACCTAAAAGTGATAAAAAATTATTTCATTAAGTAAATGTGAGACAATTTAAGATAAAAATTAAAGAAAAAATAATGAAAAATATTACTACTAAATAAAAAAGTGAAAAACTACAAGTAAGAATATTATAATTTAAATTCGAGAATATTTATAGTATAAATTAAGATTATTATTTAAATTTATTAATAAATGAAATAAAAATTATTCTGCATTACAATTAAAAAAGATTTCTAATATGTAGGATAGAAGAAGTATAATATGAAAATTTTTTTGAATTAATAAGCTAAA